TGGCTGGTGAGAAATTGCAGATTACCTCACAAGATTATAATTGGGTAAAGGACTTAGATTAAATCTTTAAATAATAAGATTTCAATGAGTACATTTATTTTCATTGTAAATTATGAGTATTAAACATGAGGCTAAATGTCTGCAGGATGCATTTACATTTCTTCATAATGATATAGGTGAGAAAATGTTTTCTTTCTTACTTTTGGTTTTATTCTTACTAGACTGGTTTCATCTAGGGGGCTCTGAAACCACACAAAGTAATTAGGTTTCTCTGATCAATAAAAATGAAATGATGGAGGGGGGAATTTAATCTGTAAAATTTTTTCAATAAAGTTGTTTTTGCTTATCATGTTCAAATTCTATCTTGTGATGTGATTTTTGTTATCAAAAAAGGTTTTTTTTTTTAATGTTTATTCATTTTTTGAGACACAGAGACAGAGGTGTGAGCAGGGGAAGGGCAGAGAGAGAGGGAGACACAGAATCCGAAGCAGGCTCCAGGCCCATCCTGTCAGCACAGAGCCCAATGCGGGGCTTGAACTCACAAACCATGAGATCATGACCTGAGCTGAAGTTGGACTCTTAACCGATTGAGCCACGCAAGCACCCCTGTTGTGATGTGATTTTTAAATCTTTATCATATTAAAAGTTCACATTTAATGATCCTAGCCTCAATATTTTTTATGAAATATTTTCTTTTTGCTCCATTTATGAATTTTGAAGCTTTTTTCAATTGTTGGTGCAGCTGAGATTACCTAGAACTTCATTGTCCAATATGATAGTCCTTAGCCACATGTGACTATTTAAACTTAAATTTAAACTAGTTAAAATTAAATAAAATTAAACATTTAGTTCCTTAGTCACGCTGGTCACATTTAATATGTTCCTTAGGTACATTTGGCAAAAATATAATTCAAGCTCTTGGATTACTCCAAAAAATAAAAACTTTGTTCCTACAGCCTTGGTATCTATAACATAGGGATTTCTTGTAAATCATGGCCATATTTTCACTTTCTGTTCTTACCCATTTTACCTAAGGCTGAATTGTCTGCCTTACAGCTATTGATTTTTTTCTAAGACTGTGATTCTCATACATTTGATTTATGGGTATAAGAGCTTTTAAAAATTGGAAATAGGCTTTGAGATTGCGGTAGTGGGTCTAGGGCTGAGTCTGGGAATCTCTGTTTTCAAGGAGCCAGATTTAGGAATCATTAGCCTGGGGCGCACTAACAATTCACTCCTGCATTTTCTAAGCTTTACTTTTATATCAAATCCGATCACCAGATAGCTACATTTCCTGATGATATAAATTTGTCCCCTTACAGAAATATTCTTATGGGACTACAATTACATTTATTCACTGATTTGATAAAATATTTAAGTGCCTACTATGTGCCAGGCACTGTTCTAAGCATAGGGAGGGTACATCAGTGAATAAAACAGACACAAAACCCTGTTCACATGAACCTTATTAGACTACTGAATGTTTTCTTTACGTCCCGGACTTTTTATAAAAGAATCAAGAGCAAAAGTGGCTGTATGTAAAATGTCTGGTTTTGAGTTTTATGTTCAATAAAGACCTACTTGACAAATTCCACGCAGGAGTTCAGTGCTAGGAAAAGTTTCTAGTATGATTTGGCATGATCGCTTCTGTTAAAGAATGCTGTCTTGCTACAGGGGAGCAGTTGGAAGTCGAGTCATTCCCCTGATTGCTGCTGCTCCCCCATACCACGGTCTGTGTCCCTCCTTCTCTTTTGTTCTTGATCTCTCATTCTTCCAGCAGCCCCATCTCGCCTCCCTCACATTCTGCCCTCATTTTAGAGATGCAGTTTTATTGTTAAGAGTGGGTTTGATTATAAGCAACCTTGAATTTCATTTTATAAGTAAATTGGAGAAAGGGGGGGATCTGAAGGGATGAAGCAAAGAATGCATTTGCTAAGACTGGTTCTGTGAACTTTACAGAAGGCTGAAATTGTGTTCTGGAAGATACAGATTCTTACTCTCAAACTTAAAGTAGGCGTCTGTTTTTACAGAAGCTCTGTAAACTTTGAAAGTCCTTGCTGTTTCGACTTTTACACGTGATTATGAAGCATTTATATATTATAGATTTAAAAACTTGGTGGAGACCCTAGAGATCATCTAGTGCAATTGTCTAATCTTATTGGAAGTGAGATCCTGGGTTTTAAATAATTTACCCAAAGACACTCGGCGAGAGTGTCACTGGTAGGATTAGAACTCAGTTTCCTTTACTTCCACGTGGTCCTCTCCCACCAGACTTTGAATTAGAAAATGCATCATGTCCTTTTAAATACGATAAATTTGGGGCACCTGGGTGCCTCAGTCGATTAAATGTCCGACTTCAGCTCAGGTCATGATCTCGCGGTCTGTGGGTTCGAGCCCCGCGTCGGGCTCTGTGCTGGCAGCTCAGAGCCTGGAGCCTGCTTCGGATTCTGTGTCTCCCTCTCTCTCTCTGCTCCTCCCCTGCTCATGCTCTGTCTCTCTCTGTCTCAAAAATAAATAAAAACATTAAAAACAAATTTTTAAAGACGATAAATTTAAGAGACGTGTGTGTAAACTTTGTATTATTTTCACCCCGTAATACATGGTTTCTAACTGAACAGACTTTATTGAGTTGTCACTATGTAGCAGCCACTGTACTCACCATGGGGGCACGTGCAGTGGGGAGGCCAGCTTGTCAGCACGTGTGCACCAGACGGTGGAGACACTTTGCTGAGCTCCCTCATGAGCTCGCAAGCACCACGTGATGCTGGAAGAAAGAACCGTTTCTTACCCTCAAAGATTGCACCACCAGTTTTTCAGTCTGTAATATGCAAATGCTTAATGAAGCCCAATCTAGAGACCTAATTTATATTTAATAAATGAAAACGTGATAGCAGTTGTATTTCAAGAAGCGTTTGCTTTATAACCCACGTACTGTATTACATAGAAAATCTTGAGAAGCAAAGACAAGTCTATAACTAGAACGGTGGCACAACCCAGGAAGTTTAGAATTCTTTCTGCTTACTTAACAGTGAATGTTCACCAGAAACGCTAGTCTTGTCTGTGGTAAGGTCTTCATATTCACGTGGAGCATGGCAAAGTTTCATTAATGTGCACGTTCGTAGGTAATGGAGCTCAGTGTTGTTTTTTTACGTTTATTTATTTTGAGAGAGAGAGAGAGAACACGCCCACGGGAGAGGGGCAGAGCGAGAGGGAGAGGGAATCCCAAGCAGGCTCCGCACTGTCAGTGCAGAGCCCAACTCTGCCTGAACTCGTGAACTATGAGATCAGGACCTGAGCCAAAATCAGGAGTCAGACGCTTAACTGTCTGAGCCACCCAGGCACCCCGGAACCCAGTGGTTTTTAACCTTTTTGGGAATTTGAGGCACATATGCAACTTTCACAGTCGATTTTAAGATGTGCGTGCTGCCTCTGCCCCTGCCAAGCCCATTTGTGATCTCTAATTAACCATATCTGCATCTGTGGCTGGTGTGGGGGCTATTTTGAAAGAGCCTTTCAAGTGGTTCTCATCCATGGTGCACTTCTGCTACTGGCGAGACCCTATTATTTCCCTCTGGTATGTTGAAAACCACAGATGTAATATTTATCATACACTGTAATTATTTACATATTATGTGCTTCTCAAAAATCTAGACTTTGCAAGCCTCGTAATCGTCACTCACACATTGTATCCTGGGTCCAAAATGATACTGTCGGTTGGCCCGATAATACTATTAAATATTATTAAGTAAATAAATAAAATATAAAAATACATAAATAAAATTTAAAAGCCATTCTATTCTAATAAATACCAGAAGATAGTAGAGAGCACATTAAAGTCTGTTGCAAGCAATCTAGATTCCAAAAGTCCTGGTTTACAACTAAAATTAGGGGTGCATCCTTAAGCAGGTCACCTGATCTTGGGCCTCCGTTCACTTCATCTGTAAAAGTAGATTGTGGTAAATTCAAATTTAGAGTCTCTAAGGACTCAGCTTTACACTTTGTTAAGTGAAATAAAGCAGGAGGCTGGAAGCGAGATCCGGATTCTGCACCAGTGTATATTCTTGTATTTCCATAAGAGTGTGGCTGTGTGATTCACTTTCTATATTTATTTCTCACAAAATGTAAATAAGATGCCCTTTAAGTCTCACTCAAACTGGGGACTAGCATCCCTGGTCTCTCCCCTGAAGTTGGGTCACCAGGTCACGTACCTGTCTCCATATCCTGTGACGTCTCTGGTGCCCCCTTGAGGAGAAGGGCCCATGTATTTTCATATATGTGCTACCGAAGGGAGCACAGGACCGTGTATTTTAGACTGCATATCTCCAGTGACTAGCACAGTGTTTGGCACATAAAAGACAATAAAAGTTTGTTAAATGAGTAAATTATTTTTTTAACTTTGAGAAAGTTTATATAGGTGAGTACATTTTTAATTATACCATCACAAATCACTTTCCAAAACGATATTGTAATTTAGAGATGTTTTAACTGGCTCACCAGATTTTTGATCGTCCTCCCTAAAAAATCGCTAAGCATCTATTATATGGCAGACACTGGAAATTTAACTCCTCATGGGGCTCAGAGCTTGGCAAGAACGACAGAAAGATGCATGTTATTAATTCTAGTTGCAGTGAGGACTCCTATAACACAAGTATAAGCAAAATATAAGTAGACACTAGATGTTTAAACAAATAACACTTGTACTATGACTCATATTTTGAACTATGGTAAATATTTTTACTCGTTGAACATGATTTCTTTGTTTAATTCCAGCTCTTTTTATAACAAGTCTCCTTACCAGTGATGACAGATGAGCCCGTGTCGTTTACGCATTGCAGGTCCTTTTTTTAATGAGATCTAAAGTAGACTAAATTTCTTTTTCGCACTGTGTCTCCAAATATTTTAAAACATGCATGGAATATTGGCCCAGATGTATCTTGTTCTGAATTATTGTTGCATATATTCTGGCTTTTTCTGATTAAGTGAATTTTTGCTTCTTTTAGGAGGATTTTCTATGGGAGGGTGCATGGCAATGCATTTAGTGTACAGAAATCATCAAGATGTGGCAGGAGTATTTGCTCTTTCTAGTTTTCTGAATAAAACATCTGCTGTGTACCAGGTAAGTTCCAGATTTTAAAAACAAAACAAAACCAAAAAAAAAAAAGCGTGAAATAATCACACATTGAAACTAAAACAAAATTGATCATGAAGCAATTGCAGTCGATGCACAGAGCACTCCTGGGAATCCATCCCCAATTAGTCATAATGAATATTAATTCCAGCTGGTCATTAATGTTCAGGAAATACCATAGAAAGGATATTATTAAGCATGGTGTCCAAGAGGAAAGGATAAAAATCATATGTATCCCTTACACATAATAAAAATAGAGATGATTATAGCCAGGCTTGTTTTTTTATGTCATGAACATAACCGAAACAAATGACCAATTACATTCCCCGACACCTGTCTCATAGCAATATGCTAATATACGAAGCGATACTATAGTGTTGTAACTTCATACCAGAATTAGAAACAGCAGATACAGAAATGAAAAAAACTAGAATGTAATTTTTCTCTTGATGGTGCCTGCATTCCTCCCTCTGTCCACTCTCTATGTAAAGAAGTTTGTCTTACGGAGTCACACGGTTTCTTCAGGAAATGCTTCGACTGTGTTTGAGACGGTCCTGTATGGAGTCAGTGCTGGTCACGTACAACCATAGCTCACTTGGTGCCAGCAACTAGCTGAGCCCCCAGTCCAGGACCACCAGTGTGCACCTTAGACCACACCACCACTGCCTCTTTTCCCTTTAAATATTGGAAGTTTTCTGCCCCGTCTGATTTCCAAGAATGATGTTCATCAGTGAATGTCTTAAACTTTTCCATTTGTACATCCTGTTCCTCAGGCTCTTCAGGAAAGTGACGGTGTACTCCCTGAATTATTCCAGTGTCACGGCACTGCAGATGAGTTAGTTCCTCATTCTTGGGGTGAAGAGACAAACTCCGTGTTAAAGTCCCTAAGAGTGAGCACGAAGTTTCATAGTCTCCCAGGTGTTTACCATGAGCTAAGCAAAACTGAGCTAGAAAAACTGAAGTCATGGATACTTCAAAAGCTTCCAGGAGAAATGGAGAAGCAAAATGAATGAATCAAGATTGATTTGTTGACCTACCTGTAATGTCTTTGTGAAAAGTGGTTTTTACTGCCAAATTATACTTTGGTAAGTGATAATTAAAATAGTATTATCAGTAAACAATACCAAGTTTACTGACTTATTTACTGGTTATTGAAATGCTTAGCACCACAGAGAGTAGCATCATCTTATTCATGGTAAATATTAATTTAGACAGACATCTGTGTGTTATTTTTCAGATACATTTGTAAATATTTGGAGACCTTTTAAGTAGTTAAATGATTAAATTTTAAAAATAATGTAAAGTTGGTTTAAGTAAGAGCAATGAGAAAACATGAAAAGGCTTAACATGGCATTTTATTTACAAGTGTCCTATTTTGTTTCCAGATATTCAGGAATATTTTAGATGTGTTTATTATTGATTCCTGATTTAAATCCATTGTGGCCAGAGAGCATATTTTGTGTTACTGTTTTATCTGTATTCATGAAGGTTATTGGCTTGAAGTTTTGCTATTCAATTTGTTTTGTACATTTTTTGGTCTGGTTTTGGTATTAGGGTAATACTGACCTCGTAAAATGAATTGGGAGGTGTTTTCTCCTCTTCTGTTTTTTTTGGGGAGAAATTGTATAGAATTGGCATTAATTTTTACTTTAAATTTTTGATGAAATTCTCTAGTGAAACCTTCTAGGCCTGGAGATTTCGTTTATCTCTTGACAGTGTACCTACAAGTTTATTATAAACACCTCACACTTAGTACAAGAACCTTCCATTTTCCCCTTCCTGGTCTTTATGCTATTTTTCACACTTTACTTATAAATAGCATGTACCATAAATCTCACAACACATTACTACTCTTTTTTTTTTTCTTAAAGGTTTTTCTGAATGATTTTATTTTTTTTTATTTTATTATTTTTTTTTTTATATATGAAATTTATTGTCAAATTGGTTTCCATACAACACCCAGTGCTCAT